GTTTCAACGTTTTATATTTACAAGTTCGCCTAGTGCTTGAAACTCTACCATAGGTAATTATATTGGCTTGAGGAAATCTCTACATAATACTTCATATAAAAGAACTATTTTCATATATATTTTTTTAATTATAAAACTTGAGTCTGGCTCGTCAATAGCTAATACAACTAAAAATAAATATAAATAAAATCGGTTTACAAAGAGAGGAGGAATAAGTACTGTTTTGTTCTTGCCTGTTTATATATGTACCTACTAGCATTGCCCAGATAGCATTGTGCAGACGACCAAAAACCAAATTCTTAGATTTTACTTACATAATATATATTAGTATACTCTTACATTGCAGTTTTTGTATTTTTTCTCAGAAATGAGACATTTTCCCGAGGCAAAAAGTATCCTATATGTTAACCCGGATAGCCAACTGTCACCATACTAAATTTCATGAAAATCCCTAAATTGGTTTTTCTGTGATGCGGTAACAGGGCGACAGACAGACAAAAATTCTAAAATCTATAGACTCGGCCTCTGTATCGATAATAATGTTTATTTCAATAAGATTTTCCAAAAAATATTTAATGTACAGATTCGGCTTAGTTACAATTTTATTATAATAATGTATAGATATAGTAAGTACTAATTTGGATGACTACTATGTACGGTTGCACATCCGTAGGTCCTAAGTTCGAGTCCTAGGTCGGAAAATTCTAGTTATTTGGTTTTCCTGAAAAGAAACAGAAGCAGATTGACGTCAGCTATTAAATACTTGATAACTTGTTTCCAAATTGACTTTACTTTTATTATAATTACCTAAATAAAAATAAGCCAGTCACTAGTCCCAAAAATTACATTCATACATATCTATTATCCCAATACTGATTTAATTAATGCCTTAGATAGATTCAGAATGTTGAAGCTTGCTGTTATCTTCCTTTCTTTTATGGTATACGTAATCAGTTAGATCAATGTTATATAAAAACCTACGCAAGAGATTTTCAAATTAGCCGACTTTTCGTGAGAGATTTATCCCTCTCCCACAGGAGCCCTCCTTAAATGAGATAATAGAGAACATATAAATAGACAAACCGTCATAACGAACACTTATTTTTGTGTTAAAATAAGGTTAAAAATAATTTCATATTCAAATTTATCCTACACGTGTACATAAAGCTCGTGCATTTCACTCTGCGGAAATAAAAAAAAAGTTATATCCATTTCTTTTTCCGGAACCCAACATTGTAAATAGAAAAAAAATTGAGCGAATCACGTGTTTCAAAAACCTAAAAAATTTTGTCATATACGAGTATGACTTTATGTAACTTTATACCTATAACTTTGTTTAGCTGAAAATATTTAATATTAAGTTAAATTATTGTCTATTATAAATTATAAGTATATTTTGGTTTAAAATATTCTAACGAATAACTATAGTCAACATGAAGCGCTTAATAAAACGGATAAAACAACCTTTTATTTTGTTGCTGAGTAAATAATGGATAAAAAACAAACATACACATTTTTCTATGTTATTTTTAATAAGGCCTATATAATATGTTAACGTTTACCACTCCATGGTAAATTCATAGAGAAGCTTAGATAGTCGTCTCTTTGAAGATCTCGTTTCTCCTACGCCATTGCTGAACTAGCTATACCTATATATAGAGTAAAATATTACATACCTTCACAAAACAGACCATTATATTGTTTATGTCATAATTATAAAACATAAAAATATCATGTCTATTTTAAAACAACCGCCTCATATATGTACATATGTTATATATGTAAATGTAGATGTTATTTGTCTATTGCAAGTTTAAAAATCCTAAACAACTTTTTAAATAATAGCCCGATTTTTTTACTGTCTAAAATTTGATGTCTTTCTAATATTTAGAACGACTCAACAAGCTCTGACAGGACTTTCACAAACTGGTAGAGTAATGAAAAGAGAGAACATATGTAGGTATTTTGTTTCACTAGCAAATCGGAGTTAAAATCTAATCTAAAATGGACGGCAACAACTACCATGAGATTTTAATCTAACTCAAGTTTGAAATGAACGCTACACGTCACTAACAGTTAATGTATTTTAATTAACCCAAAAATAGCTTAAAAGATGTCAGTTGGCCGCTCCGGGTCATTAAATAAAACATATGGTAATGTCCACGCTAATGTTAAGACGGAGACGCTTGCACAACAACGAAAAAAAATCGAAAAATGAACACCTGGGCGGCTATAGGCGTACTACATACAAGTAACAATGATGTTAAGATTAGTCCTGCGATATTTCCTTATACGCTTTTTCATATAATTAGCATACGATTTTTTTTCTTAGATTTATGCGAATATTTGGCGTTTTAAATAAAACTATCATTTCGGATTATTTCGCGGATTTATTTTTATTTTTGATTTCCGATGTTTCGAATGCTTTACAGCAATCATGGTCACGGGAGAGACTAAGGTTTTAGACGTCTCAAAGGCCTTATATACTTGTAACAGACAGTCTGTAAGCATTTGAAACGTCGGGAACCAAAAATCAAAATGAATCCGCAAAATATTTCGAAAAGATAGTTTTTTTTAAAACACACTAAAATTATCAATAAAAAAGTTTGTTACTGAGTGAGCTTAACGCTGTAACAGCTCAATAAATTTAGGTTTAAATCAAAATAAAGATGACTTCTGTACTGAATTAACAGACGTTACTTTTTATAAATGTATCTACCATAAAAGTTATAGAGAGTATTCATAGTTACATTATATAGTCGTTATTTTTATAGATATACGAATATATTTATTGATCTAAAAGCTTAACCTTGGCTTCAAAATATATTTTTTCTTGAAAGCACATAATATAGATAATATATGTCTTATTCGTGTTAAATTATATCGTTTATGACTCGTTTATTAGAAAGAGAATTTTCAATTCTTTCAAGGATGCTGAAGTTATCTCGTCTGATATATACTATAAATTCTGTTTTCTATAAAGTATGAATAATATTTATTTTCCTGTTAAATTAGTAATATTTATTTCAAATATTTATCAAAATTTTTATTACTTTTGAAACTTTATCTTCATTGATTACTTGGAATAAAATACAATAATAACATCTTCTATGTAGTCATTTTATATTTTGTAGTAAATAATTAAGGAAGCACTAAACTTATTTTTCTTATAAAATTAAGAGAGTTAGGATATTAGTAACAAAAAAATTAAAAAAGTACATAGTTAGATGGATATTTAATTGCATTACACAGAAAAGAAAAATTCATAGGACAAAAAAATTATATAAACAATGAATAGGAATTTTAGTTTGATACCCGAGAATCAAATTTTTCATTATTTACCAAAACCAAAAACGCTTAAAAATATAATAATAAAAATAAACCTCACAATATCCTAAAATGCGTGGTTGAACATAACGCCGGACAGGTGAACCTACAATCAAATTTATTCACAAAAATCTAAAGATAAATCTTATGTAGCAATATCTTGTGCACCCATATCGATATCCTAAGCATTAATATTAAATTATTAATAATCTCCATTCAATTCAATGCGACAAGCCTTGACCGAGACCATGAACTTCAAATATGTATAGACAGTGAAGTATGAGTACATTTAAATAAAAAAGTTGTCTGGATGACTACATAATTCATATACCTATGTCACTAAGCCAAAGTAAAATACTATCTCAACGATTTCTTTTTGAAATAGAGTCCTTATATCTTGATATGTACATACATATATACAATACTCTTAGAATCTACATAAATTTTAACTAGCTTTATAAAAAAGGAGGTTATCAATTTGACCCGATTCTATGGAATATTATTGGAATTGCAAATATAATACATACGAGTATAATACAATTCTGAGTCGAATCTGTATTTTTGGAAAATCTTATTGAAATAGTCATCATTATCGATACAGAGACCGAATCTACAGTTTTTAGAATTCATGTCTGACTGTTTGTCTGGGAACGTAGCACGTGAAAACCACTGGACAGATTTTAATGAAATTTGGTATGATGATAGCGGTTATCCGGGTCAACATATAGGATACTTTTTACCGCGGGAAAATGTCTCATCTCTGAGAAGTCTATAATAAACATTAAAACGTAACTATGGACGAACCCGAACGGAGCGAGGGTGAGTCGCTAGTGTTTATATGTATATAATGTTTGTGTAGTCTAGGATTCTAAAGAGAATTTCATTAAAGTATACCTACGAGTACGTGTGTATGTTATATGTTTAGCTTAAAAGCCACTAGTAAGAAAATTGAATTAAATGTTGTTTAAAAAAAATTAAAAAAATATTCATTTATTTAAGTGACATTTGTTTTTAAATAGAAATTAAAAGTTCTCACAATATTTATTCTTTACCAAATATAATCATTAAATAATAGTTGCTTATAATAAAACGATCATTTGATATTCAAAGCACGTGTAGTAAAAATAATGAAAGAAGATATTATATAAAAAATGTTGAAATAATAAAATCATTTTGGAGTTTAAAACTATTTTATTACATGTAAGTTAACTTCATCAAGTGAATTTTCCAATAGCTCGGTGTTCTTGTAATTTTATATACGAGTATGTACTATAAAATCTTTTATTTTAGGTATTTTGTTTTCACCGTCTTAAATTATTGATATATTATAAAACTTGAATGAAAATGATTATTACTAAGTATTATTTATTTATTACTATCTTAAATTTAAGTGTATATTTTTGACAAGCCCCGTGACCATGTTTACTGTTAAGAATTCGGAACGTCGGGAACCAAAAATCAAAATATATCCGCGAAAAAATCCGAAAAGATACTTTTATTTAAAACTTATTCCCTTCTAGTCAAAATTGTGAAAAAGATATACAGAGCATTCGCCTTGACATAATGGAAGTGTTTTGACGAGAGGTCAATGCCCGAATAAATATAAATTTTAATTCTAAACACCCCTATATTATGTTGTCTCATTTTTAACGCTCTTAAAAAGGAGGGACTTAATGTAATGATGTTCTCCTGACCGATTCCGGCCGGCGGCCAATCTCATTAAGACTAGCCAACTGCACAGGAGATATTTTACAAGTGTACGCGCAGACACAAGTGCACTCTCTATTCCTGTCACTCTCATACTCTGGTGGGACGACCACTCGACACGACCAGTGAGAGTTAAGGCGCAGGACCGACGGCTTTACGAGCTCTCCGTGCACGGGGTGAAACACCGCCAACCTCCCAACTCCGGGCTGTTATTGAGGCTTAATAATATACAGAAAGACTCAATAACTTGGCCCGACCCGGGACTCGAACCCAGGACCTCCGGGTGTGCAGCTGTACATGCTAACCACTACACCACCAAGGCAGTTAACCGAGGGAGGGGGGGGGGTCTTAATGTACCTAACCTATGTTAGACGATATATGTATGCCAATTATAAAGCAAATTTCATGATCCTTTTTAACGAATAGCTCTAGCATGAATGCCTCAAAGGTCTCACACAAATTATAAGAAAAACGATCAGTAATAATAGAAAAAAAAAATTAAATAATTTTAAAAGTCGACATAAAAAGTACCGTCATTATTTTATTATTTTAGTAAAGATAGAGTTCGATCCCTTTAAGATAGTATTGAGACACTATGCACTTATAACTTGTACTAATTATACAAATAATTACCATGTTCGAGAATAGAATACACAGAATAACGTAATAGAAGGTCCTAATATCCCACGACGATCGTCACATAACTATCCCAATATATTAAATCTTGGTGCATCACTGCACATGCAACTAATCCACGTGAAAATTATCTTGGGATTCCTCGATATATTCCTCGATATATAGCTTAGTATGTATTTCGTTAGGTTTAGTGGAATACAAAACATTTCTATAGTCATTATCATTTTTCTTTTATAAAATCGACACTGAGTCAATTTAGCTGTAAAAAAGTAAGAAAAATTTCTTTCAGATCTATTTTTTAATATATCTGCCATAACTGAAGAGTATGTTTGCTTCGTACTTATTCTCTGAAAATACCACTTAAATTTCAAAAAAATCTTTTTTTGCATTTTCTAGCTTATTTATTGTTGAAGTTTATAGGCTATCTACAATCGCAGTACGATATTTAGAAAAGGAGCAATCTATACATATAATAAAATTCTGAGTCGAATCTGCAAATTAAATATTATGGATACAGAAGCCGAAACTATAGTTTTTACAATTTTTGACTTTCTGTCTGTCTGTCTGTATGTGTCTGACTGTCTGAGAAAACCTGCATGTTCAGACATGATAACCTAACAAGTTATCGGAAGACATAAAAACCGCCAACCCGCACTTGGCCAGCGTGGTGGACTATGGCCTGATGCCCCTATTATTGAGGGGAGGCCCGTGCCCAGCAGTGGTACGTTAGTCCCACACACAAGGTAGGCACAAAACAAAAGGGCTGAATACAAACCATACGGGTAAAGCTGCAGGCAAACGCTAATAGAACATAATAAGTTATTAATCGGTATAGGCTGACAGTCTCTAAGTGTAAAACTTTCCATTGAATTCAGGAGTTCAATATTAAACACGTGTACACACCACGAGTAAGGTTCATCCACCCGTGCAAGTAATACGGCACAAATTAGTATCATAACCTCTCCTCCGTAGGTTTCATGTACATATATCATAAAGAATGCAAGTACTTTTCCTGCGAAATTTTCCTGTATACATAACTGTTTTTGATTGACTTCATAAAGTAAGTGCTGTTTTTTGTCTATACATACATATGTAAATAATACATAGAGATTTATATTGTATATGTTATCTATTTATATAGGTAGTTAAGTTAGATTCGAGTCCCGGGTCGGGCCTAGTTTAGTTATTGAGTCTTTCTGTATAGTAAGTCTCAGTAACAGCCTAGAGTTGGGAAGTTGGCGGTGTTTCACCCCCGTGCCTCGGAGAGCACGTAAAGCCGTCGGTCCTGCGCCTTAACTCTCACCGGTCGTGTTGAGTGGTCGTCCCACCGGAGTATGAGAGTGATAGGAATAGAGAGTGCACGTTGTGTCTGCGCGTACACTTGTGCACTGTAATATCTCCTGCGCAGTTGGCTAGTCTTTTTTGAGATTGGCCGCCGTAGCCGGAATCGACTAGGAGAACATCATCATCATCATCACTACCAGAGTACCTCATATAAATATAAGTAATCCACCCCTAAGGTGAAATTATATTTAAATGATTTTTAAGCTGGTGTGCTTTTTAAGCAAAAATAAAGAAGTATAGATACTTTGTGATATATTTTAATATGTTATTATAACACATTGAATAAATAAAATTTTATTTATCCAATGTGTTCTTCTTATAAGCTAGCTTTTACTTGCGCTGAGGTCGCACGTGTCTGTACTTTAGTTTAGGGTCAGTAAAAATGATCATAGCTTTATATGAGACTATACAATAAAAAGTAAGCACGAACTGTATCTCTGAATCTACACGACCCATTTAAATAATCTTTATTTTTACTAAAACAAGCTTTTGCCTGTGGTTTCCCATCTTTATATTTTTATTTATTTTATAATAACCATAGGGATTTCCCACTTAAAGTAGAGCGTTTAAGATAGCGTAAGGAAAGGGAACTCGTGCCTTTGGATCTGTTACTGTTTTCCATTTTTTATATGTACAGATTTTTTATACGATAGATAAAATCTATATAATATGGAAAACTACAAACAAACAAACAAACAAACAAACAAACAAACAAACAAACAAACAAACAAACAAGCAGACAAACAAAGGTTTTAAAGATTTTTAATTTAGTGCCGAATATATTACAATTTTTCATGAGAATTTTGATATGTACATATTATAAACTTTCTTCTTTCTTATATATATATATATATATATATATGCTAGCAGTCTTATAAATCATCTAATTACTACCCAAGTATTATATATAAAAATCGGCTTTTATACTATAACGTAAGTAAAATTATGATTTCATGAAAAGGGTGTCTGGCAAGGGTTTGCCACGAAGTTAAGTGTCTGGCATTTAATGACGTGATTTTTAATAATATTCTGAAGGTAATACCAAAAAAATCGCACTTTATTATTTGACGAATTTAGATCGGTATTTTACACACCTTTAGTACCGTGTACCTGCCAAAGCCACCATAGCCTAAACTTCATAATAGTCCATCGTTCTTATCTGTGTTGGGAGCATGCGCTGACAAACTTTCAGCTTCTATAAAATGACGAAGGTCTGGCGTTCACAGGCTCTTAGGCCAAAAGAAGTTTCACTTCAACAAGAACGTACCTAATAAATAGGAATAGAAGTTTAATAAACTGAATATAAGTTTTTATAACTACGCAGTTTTAATTTCAGCTCAAATGGTTATTCTTTTACTTAGGTAAAAGTACGTTTTTATTAATGCTCTTTCTTCGGAGAAAACTTAATTTATTGTAAAAATAAATTAACGACATATTTGGCTCAGTTTGTAGTGACCCTACTTGCTGTGCCAGCGGTCGCGGGTTCGAGTCCCGCTGGGGGCATTCATTTGTGTGATGAGCACAAATGTATGTACTCTAGCCATGGGTGTTTATATTTATAACATGTATATATTTAAAGTTATATATGTGTAGTGTATCAACTATCTGGTTTCCAAAACACAAGCCTCGTAGCTTACCATAGAACTAAATGGTGCTGTGTGTTAATGTCCCAATATATTTATTTATTATTTATTTATTTAATCTTATAAATATCTAACATGGAGGCTTATAATATTTTAGAAAGTTTTAAGAAAAAAAAATAAGCGAAAGAAATCGAATAATTTACCACTACTTCAAAAAACTTTATCCCACTGATCTCGTTCATACACGCTAGAAAAGTTCATTCACACTCAATATCAAGCCGCTCACATCTTTTTTTCAAGTTACATTTCAAGATCTCCTACATCCACAACCCTCGTCAATCAGTGTGACAGTGCTCTCCTCAACAAAGTTCATGGAACTAATAGGTCATCCGGGTTTTGAACTCTTAAAGTTCATCTTTGTTTGACGACAAGTTTGGCTCAGTTTGTATAGACGCTACTTGCTGTTCCAGCGGTTGCGGGTTCGAGTCCCACTGGGCAAGCACATGTTTATAGTATCATCGTTAGTCACAAACGTTTATAGTTTTAGCAAATGTTTATACTATCATATAGGTTTTATTCTAACCTATTTTTTCTCAGAAATAAGATATTTTCCCGTGGTAAGTGTATCCTATATGTTAACCCGGATGACCAGATATTACCATACCAAATTTCTACAAATTCCCTCCAGTGGTTTTCTGTGATGAGGTTACAGAGAGGCAGACAGACAAAAATTCTAAAAACAAAATAGGTTCGGACTCTTTATCGATAATAATGTGTATTTCAATAAGATTTTCCAAAAAATATTTAATGTACAGATTCGGCTTAGTTACAATTTTATTATATGTATGGATTATTATTATCTCATGTAAATGGCCTGTTTTTAAATGACACGAATATTATTACTCATTGGGTTTTTTTTCTCATTTTAATATATAATATGCATTTTTATAGGGTATTAACTTGGATATGAATTTTTACAACAAAAAATAGATTATGACAAATTGACTGACAGACACATGGAAATATATTTTATTTAGCAATATAACATATTATACCAAATTATGCTTCATTTTTATCAAATTTTTAAGCTAATGTAGTTACACCTTATAACTTGACGAAATTTTCTCTAAGGGAAAATTTGTTATTAGCATAGACCATTTAAAACAGACATTAAAAAATTATATTTTATACTTATAATGCCTAATTATTTGAACACTACAAAATATAATTATTCAACTACCTCTTGGCCTAGTGATTAGTACCAATCTCTGTGTCGGATTCCACGAGTTCAACTCCCGCTTGGGATCAGTATATTACCTATATAAGTACATATTTGTCGCTATCTGTAAGTGCCATTTAATATCAAGCGTCGACATAATAAAATAAAACAGCTACATTTACTTTAGATACAGTACATTCATTTTATCTGTAGCTCCAAGATTTTGCGCATACGGAGTGAACCGAGTGTATAAAATGACGGCATTCCAATTTCTGCTACTCTCGAGATAATAAAGTCTTGAGTGTTGGTTTCCAATACGCTCCTTAAACTTATTCTTACTTGTACACAAGTTATTTTACAAAATCCGATGACAGTTTATGTTCAATATTCACTTCCAGGAATCAAAGCAGTAATGTCCTAAATGTTGAACAGCGCCAATTTTTCATCTGACCTTTACGACGATCATTTTATGACTTGCTTAGTCAAAGGCTGTACTAGTTTATGTTTTGCTGCTAAATCAGCATGTACTCGTAAATGGGAAGCTAGAGATTAAAGCGGATATGACATACCGCACTACGGACATGATCTGCAGTCCATTCTATACTTATATATACATATCTACCTTTTAACGGTAAAATCCGAGCGAAGCGAGAGTGAATCGCTAGTAATAATATTATATAATAATATTTATGTTTGTTTATAGCTCAATTGTAATTTTTGTTGTAATATTCTTTATTAGTCTCTGAACCGAAGTAGTCTATCCCGCCCGCCCTGACAGTGTTTTATGTACGCGACAAAAGAGCAGCGACCGGCTAACTGCTGGAATTATTCCACCTCCATTACATTCCGCCCCGTAGGTGTAAACCTTATTAGCTAGGAAAGTTTCCCTTTAATATTGTTTTGTTTTCATTCAATGCGCCAAATTCACCACCGTGTAACACATAAAAATGATGAAACATGTAGATAGTAATAAGTAATTTTTAGAATAGATAAAATTTATAATCTTACACGCCTAATACGATGCAATGGAACTCATCTCCACTCCCTACGGTGTCTAGACTAATTAAATATCAAACTATATTTATTAATCCTTAGAACATAATATTACAAATGTGGAAATAATTCTGGATAGCGTTTGTTACTTTTCAAGCTTTAACTGCTAAGCAGATTTCGATAAAATCTGACAAAGACATAGGTTTTATTATGGGGACGTAGGCTGCATAGCTCATCAGTATACTCACGAGTACTTTTATATGTAAAATCACTTTAGGTATTTTTAAAAATTTCGGGAAATAGCGTAGGTATGTTAATTTACAACTTTAAACTGATTCATTTAAAAAGGAAAAACAAATATTGAGTTTTATTTCATTATGCTACGTCAGGAAAATCACCAAATACCTATACATTTTAAGGCAGTAAGCATTTGTTTTTAGCTATTTTGAAATATTTCCGGAATTTTTCTAAAGACTCTTCGATTTTAAGGTATGTAATAAGTAATATGTAGATGAACATACCGTGTTATAATTTGTGGTTTACAAGCACATTTCGCTGATGATATATAGCTTTTCAAGATATTGCACACGACACAATTTACAACACCATTAAAATAGTCACATGTTGCTCGATGCTCCACGCATATATTATATCTGTCACGATAACTATAAAATATAAGATTTTCAAAACTTTAAAATAATAAATTAAGATTTTAACACTGTAATAATAAATTCATTTTATTTGCAGTAGTTATTTAAACAGTTGCAAGTAATAAACGATAACGCCTTTGTTGATCTATGGCGGGTGTCACTAATTTTCAAAGTCAAGTCAGAGGCAAGTCCTATGCACAATTGGTTTTGAAGCATTTGTTAATTTATCATTTAAAATCTTAACTGCCTCGGTGGTCTAGTGGTTAGCAAGTAAGGTCACAAATCAAAAGGTCCCGAGTTCGAATCCCGAAGTTTATTTTTTTTTTTAAACAGTTTATTTTTTTCAACCGACTTCAAAAAGGAGGAGGTTCTCGGTGTTCTTCGGTGTGCTTTGGCTAAGTAATTAAAGCCTACCTATTAAATACATACCTAATCAAATATTTTCGAAACCGGTGCCAGCCCATACAAAGCAAAGCACACCGACTTAGAAAATATTTGATTAGGTATGTATAGTAAATGAAAACTACCAATCAGTTATTTTTTACTTTTTAGTGCTTTTGTTTGAAGTCGGTTTTTATTTTTTTGTTAAAAAGTTTTTTTTATTTTTTTTTTGTAGCTTTGTTGTACAATTCTTAATTATTTATACAAAGCAAATGTACATACTTCCATCCTTTCATTAGATTTGCAATATCGGAAATTATTGTT